TTATGGAAGAATTTCCCCGACACTGTGACCAAGAGTAAAAAAATCCACCCACCCCCAACCGAAGGCTTTCACACCCACTGACAACCAGTTTGAGCAGCAGTCACTGCATTGTTTCCCAGATTTTTTAATGGTTCTAAACATGCAGGCAACAGTGGAGTTGCACTGTTCACATGTCCTGATGTAAGGCTTCATCAGTCACTCACACTGCCATGCACACGCTGGCAAGTCAACTGCTGGAAAACAATGCCTAAGTTAGAGAAGGTAGGAGAAAGAGCGGGAGTCCCTGAGCTGTCCAATGATTTGCTTTGTTGGCTGCTTTGTTGGCAAATCTTCCTCCTAAAGTTCCCCCCAGGAAGGGAAGTTCACGATGCACTGGTAATACTAATATATGAATAAAAACAAGAAGGGAGTATTGTGTCTGGTGGTTTATAAAAATGGGATACACTACCATTCACAGTCCATGGGCCCCTCTCTGCATCCAAACACCTCATCTGAATGACTAAACAAAATTACAATAGGTTTAAAGACTGCCCTTGAACCTCCATTGCTTTACTAATATTCAGCCTTTTTAATGACTTGAAAATTAAGTTCAGCAAACAATAAACACACACAAAAAAAAACACTCCTAGGACCCAGCTTAACTCTGTTTGAGTCTCCATTAAATCTGACTGATTGAAGAATTAATGAAGCAGCTATTTGGTTAAACTTGTCTCGATTTTTTTATCAGTGTGTGTGTGTGTATAAAAAAGGAACACAGAATCGATGGCAGACTTCAGATGAGAGCTCCTCTAGCACATGAGCCTTAAATGGCATGTTTTAGCCTTTTAATAGAGTAATTATTCCTTAACAACTCTCTGCGGCAACAGGGTTACTACATTTAGTCGACTGATGTAGTCTAGTCTGGACAAGATAAAAGTCGGTTATAAATAACCGTCATACTGAATCATGATTATAGCCTGAGAGAGATTATAGCTTTTGTGAGAACATGTAATTTTGCATTTGTAATTTTCGACATCAACAGTGTTGACATTTTCCTTCTTGTACTAATTGTAAGAATTTCTTTCTGGCTTGTGGTTTTGTATAAAAAAATACAGTTTTAAGAAAAAATTGTGCACACAAAAGGTCATTATTTACTTTAACAATATCAGAAGCAAGTCTGTTAAAAGTTATAATCCTTAAGATTGAATTAAATACAAGCCTACTTCTTTAGCAATAGCCATTATATGGATTTACCTTCTTTAATTACCTCTTTACATACTGTAGTAGTTTTCATTGCTAAAGGTGGTTTCTGGAAGTTTTAACTAGTTAAATTAAGACCTTTTTAATTATGAATGCAATCTATTTTACATCCATAGTGGCAAAAAAGTACAAAGGATATAAAGCAAAATCGATATTGGTTCCATGTTGGCTTTGTTATGTAGTTGTTACAGCATGATCAATATACATTTTTCCCAAAAACACATTTAAAAGCGAGACTGACAAATGCAACTTTATACAAGTAATGTTAAATTCATTAATCCAGTAAATTTTTATGCTGTCAAAATCAAACCTAAGGCATTTTATGAAATTTTAAGGCCTAAAATTCAGATGACAGGCTGACTTCTTTATTAAAACAATGTGAGATTGTTTGGCTGCACTGTAAACGGACAGACCAGTTGTTCCTCTGTTGTATTTCTGACAAAGTGGTTGCTCAAGAGTGTTTACAGTAGTAATAAACCACACTTGCTGTTGCCAAGACTAACCCTGGGTGTCGCCAAATCAATTGTGACAGAACATGAGTAACTTTAAGTTCAAAAAAGGCCTATTAGATACAATGGATTAGCTTCTTAAACTGTAAACCACTCAGTTTTTTTAACTGCTTTCTTCTATCTCTGCTTTATAATTAACAGCCAAAACCTGCAGGAGCAAAGGGAGCCTGGATACATGACATCAAAATGTTCACTGAAATATGGGCTCAAACAGGACAGGTCTATATAGGACCCATAATTTCCTATACTTTTGTTCAGTGTTTTTCATTTAATCATCAGGCTCGGTTCAACTATTGTACAACAGATTAACACTGACTACTCAGGGACCCTTTAATTTAAGAGATAAGACGTTCCTTTATTAATTCGCCGCAGGGGAAACTCAAATTTGGCATAGCAGCACAGGGGAATGTAGTGCAAAGAGTAGAGAAAGAATAAAATACAATAAAATAAAATATAATAAAAATATAAAAAATATATAGACTATATACAATAAAGTGGAATATGATAAGCCTGTGTATAACTGTACATGTGCAATGTTTCAAGGTATTGTGCAAAAAAAGGAGTTGTGCTCAACAGGTTAATAGTTAACTTCCACAAAAGCACATACAGCACTCACAAAGCAGGGTCTAGGGAATAAAATAAGGTTGTTCTTTCATCTGTGGTCACTTTTCCCTCACTATCTGATCCACTGTGGTCTCCAAGGAAACAAGGCCCAGTGTGATTCATGTGACTCAGTGGTAGTGGCACACATTTGTTTTCTTGTACTCACTTCCTCTGAGCTTGTGTGGGGATGAATGACGAGTAACCCATTTTATGTGTGCATGTGTGCGTGTTTCTTCGTCTGTGTGTGTGTGTGTGTGTGTGTGTGTGTGTGTGTGTTTGAAGGGAAAGGGAAGTACGGTGTCAGGATATGGAGGGGAATCCCTGGAAATCATGCGGATATGGGGATACCCCCGAGGCAAGGGAGACACATGGCGCGAACAGGGCCACTGGCTGGAGATCAGTCTACGAATGAGCACAGATGGATAAGCCTGGGCAAACATTCATGTGGGCATTTAAACCTTGACGCACAAAAACCATAAAAACAGAGTGGTCAGAGCATACAACGAGTTAAGCAAGCATGAAAATTACTGTCTCCAGGAAACACCACGAAGATAAAAACTGTGAAGTGGAAGTTTGATTTGTCTTTGGGAGAGTATGATTGTGTATGTGCCCCCTTATCTCCCTCCAGAGAGCTGAGAGCAGCAGGCCAGGGAGTATAGGTGGAGGCAGAAGGTCAATATTTACCAGCGTCAGCCTGCCTCGCTCTTTTTCTGTCTGGGAGGGTTACAGGGCTGCGGTGAGATCACTCACCCTCCTACTAGAGGGAACTCCCTGCTGCTACGCATTAATCACACAGACACTCCACGTCATCTCAAGGGGCCAGGGGAGGGAGGAGCGTTCATTTAGCAAGAGCATGAGTGTCTGCCGTACAAGGATATGCTCAGCACTCTGATGGCAGCTCCATTTTGAACAGCAAGAAAATAAAATGCATTTACACAGACAAAAAAGTCTAAATATATTTTCTCCTGACCACATGTGCAAACACAGCCATAGCACTACATGCAGTCTGCAGGAGCAGAAGCTGACGCCTTACCTACAGTCTTTAGCATTTACCATTGTCCCACATTTATCATCTGTGGCAACACTGACCCCCGTTCAGGGGAGTGTATTTCAACTAATTGACAGATGTCTCAGGCTATCCCATTTAGCCATGCCACTCAGCCCACCTAAGCTCAACTCAGGCTCAATGCCCTTTTCCTCTGGCTTCAGGAGAAGCAAAATCAATTCTAGACTAGTGGTCTTTTTATGGGTCCTGAAAAAAACGAGATCCAACCTGTAACTGGAAATTATCCTCATTCTAATCAGGTCAGGTCTTGTTTTTCTGCTATGGGACTGTGTGTTAATTTGTCTAATATCTGAGTGCATCCAAATGGATCCGAGAGTTGACAGCATCAGCTCTGATCATGTGGTGTAATCACCATAGGAAAAATGTTAGGAAATCAGTTGCCTTTGTTGTGCTGCTTTTATGTTGTCTTTCTGTAAAGTGTCTTTGAGTATCCAGAAAAGCGCTTATAAATAAAATGTATTATTATTATTATTATTATTATTATTATTATTATTATTATTATTATTATTATTACTATGTAAAAGATTCATGCTTAAGAATAACCATTTTTATTCACAGATATTAAGTTGGTTAGAAAATGAGTATCTTTTGTCACTTCCAAAGTTGGAAACAGAATGTTTTATTGTCGGTGCAGGAGGTGAAAACAGGACTTTCAATTATGTCTGTAAATGAGTTTTAAGCAAATCAATTATTTTTTTAATTAATTTTCTGACTTCACATAAATTCTTGAACATATTATTCATTCATTCATTTTGTTATACAATACTTGTTTTGTATAATGATGAATACATTTCCTTGAATTTCCTTGATTATATTGCTGCTCTTTTCAACTATATACCCGCTTGTTAATTGGTAGCACATCAAGTTGCTGCCAGTGTTGCTGTTCTGTCTGTACTAGGGGCAGTTCAGTTAATCTGCAGTTTTGGATTAAGTCTAATCATCCTCGGATCTATTCGGACTGGGTCTCTCATTTTTGAAAAAATGAATTTATGCACGGGTCAATTTCTGATGGGGGAGATTTTGGTCCTGTGAAGACCTTTACTGTAGACATCAAAATCTTTCTTTTTAAAACCTATTGATTGATATGAAATACTCGATTTTTTTTTTTTTTGTTGAATTATATTAACTTTTAAATCAATACTTGATCATTAATGAATAACTAATTGTCCAGATTTTTATAGTAATAACTCCCTTGTCCATAATCAGTAAACTACAGCGTGACTCAATAGTTTTCTCTGGACATAGCTTTATAGCTGCTCTACTTATACTGGCCACTACTTGTGAGGTCATTAGCTGAGGGTTAGGGGTGAGATGGAGAATTTAAGGACAAGAGGTGTTAACTGAGATTGTGTGTGTGTGTGTGTGTGTGTGTGTGTGTGTGTGTGCAGCTAGAAAACCCCTAACAAGTGCCAAGACAAACAGCAGCGCTGGCATTTAATCTGTGCTTGGAGCAAAGACGGCTAGCGAGCAACACACACACACACACACACACACACACAAACAGACAAAGGAATGGGTGAGGCTGTGTGCTACTCGTGAATGGCTGTGGATAAGATCTTTCAGTGTTTGTTGTCTGATGTAATTATATATAGATCATTTATTCACTGAAACCTACAGAACAATTCAGGATATGGATTACTGTATTGTGTTTATTCAGGCAATGTGACATTTTGGAAACCTTCACCATGTGTGAGCTGATCTGGTGATATAGTGTAGCGCTCTGGGTGCTGCTGGGTCATGCCAGCCTGTGCTACTCTGCCAGCAGCAATCTCAAACCTGCCAAATGGAAGTAAACAGTACCACACTACAAGGATATTCCATCTTAAAGCTCCACTTGGATGGAAAAAAAAGAACTCATCTTGTAGAATTCACCTCCATAACACTTTTTCAAAGGAAATCCACAGCGGCTATTTATTATGTGTCATGGGTAAATTAAATACCTAAGAATCGGTTTCTGCTCTGAACCAGTTCAGCTCTGTTGGAGGAATGAAGTAATATATATTGAGCTCGAGGATAAACTGTCTAACCAACCTCACATTCAACAATTTTTGTTTTTCCTGATTGCCACTTACTCTGCAGACGGACATCTGGTTGGTGGTGAGGGTGCCCGTCTTGTCAGAGCAGATAACAGATGTACAGCCCAGGGTCTCCACTGAGGGCAGGCTGCGAACAATGGCGTTCTTCTTTGCCATGCGACGCGTGCCGAGGGCCAGGCAAGTGGTAATGACAGCAGGCAGCCCTTCGGGGATGGCGGCCACGGCCAGGGCCACGGCAATCTTAAAATAATAGATCGCCCCCCTGACCCAAGAGCCGCCATGGACGGGGTCTCCGAAGTGGCCAATGTTGATGACCCACACCGCCACGCAGATCAGGGAGATGACCTTGGAGAGCTGCTGGCCAAACTCATCCAGCTTCTGCTGCAGCGGCGTCTTCTCTTGTTCTGTAGAGGCCATCTGATTACGGATCTTACCGATCTCAGTGGCCACGCCGGTAGCAACGACAACGCCTATGGCACGGCCTGCTGCAATGTTTGTGCCCTGTGGGAAAAAGAAAGAGAGAAATTAGTGCGCAGGTGAAGCAGAAAAAACTTTATTATCATCTCATTATCACACTCATTTGAAGACATTTGCTGAACATAAAAGAAGACATTTTGGATCAAATCATAAACAGTGATAACCACTCTGAGAATTGCACTAACTACGTTAAACTATGTGTCAGGGTTGTATAGCTTTGTATCAATTCCTGATATGAAGGCAGAAGATAAACATGACTCAGAAGGCTGCAGGGGTGCTTACAGAAAACAGCATGTTCTTTTTGTCCTGGTTGACAGCTCTGGGGTCAGGAACAGGGTCAGTGTGTTTGATGATGGACACAGACTCCCCTTAAGAAAAGTTTGTATGAGACAATTGCACAGTATTAGATCTGTAAGTGCGACAGGTGACTATAAGACCAACAAGTTATACTCACAGCCTAAAGGGGTAGCAAGTACAATCACAGACAATATCAAAGAGACTAAAACTGTAGAACGCTCTTCTAAGTTCATGCAATAAAAGGAGCAAGGGAGCATACTCAATGTGAGATATGTGAAAGCCTTCAAGCAGTACTGTCTGGTGTCTGATGCAATACCTGTGAGGATGGACTGGTCCACTCGCAGGGTGGTGGACTTTATAGAGGTCACTCTGATGTCAGCAGGCACCTTGTCACCAACTAAAAAAAAACAAACAACAACAAAAATGACTAAAGATGAATGTAGGAATGTGCCAATGTCAGTACTGTATGCTTCACACTCACAATGACAATGCTGAGGCATTAGCAGGCACCATGTTCACTGCCTTGGTTTGACCGGTTAGCATTCTAAAATTTGCCAATTAGCACAAAGTACAGCTGATGTGGGAATGTTATTAGTTTTGCAGGTATTTGGTCATAAATTCAAGTATTGGACAAACTGAAAATTGAAATGACCTGATGGTGGATAATGAACTCCTGTGAAGGTTAGATCACCAAAGTCATTATCCTCTAGAGACATTGAACATCTGTTGATATGTTTGCAATCCATCCAGCAGTTCTCAGGATATTTTACTCTCAACTACCAATGTCAGCCTGCTTACAATAGTAGAGGAAAGGTCATAGGATCACCAAAAGTAATTCAAATCAGACAATTTCTGTACAGAATTTCATGGCAATCCACCAAGTAGGTGTTGAGATGATTTAGTCTGAACTAAAGTGGTGGACTGACCAACAGACTAACATTGTAATTCATAGAGCTACGCTGCAAGCACGGTCAAATTACCAGATGACCGAGCTGACAGTAGTATGAAGGAAACAAGACAGTGAAGAGGACAATATATACTTCTAATGTGTTTGCCCTCTGAAAGTTTGGCTTATGCTTGTAAGTGTAGCTGCAAGTGAACACTCAGCTACACCCTCGAATGTCTGTGTTCAAATAATAAATCCTTGAGCAAAGAAACATCGGCGGATTTAGCCCAGGCTCAGGCTGCAGCCACAGGTAAACAACGGCTCAATATAACCTTGATGGAGTCACGTTGCTGTTTTAAAATGATTGATTATTTCCCCTCCCCTTTGTTCTCTCTTCACTCTCTGCAGCTCTCTCTCTGTTCCTCTTGTACTCCACTTCTCTACATATGTCAGACATAAACTACAGATGAAGCCTGCATTGAATCTACAAAATGCATTTCATCTTATCCACCAGTCTTACAGTCTGCTTATTAAGCCTGCATATTAAACTCGTATCTCATAGCCAGAGCATTTTAGTATCTAATGCCCCAAAACAAAATGGATATTGCTTCCTCTTTGTCAGAGCCCGACAATGAACTTTTAATGGAAATATTTTCATAATAGCAGGACAGAGCTAGCTTGTGAAAAATGGATCGTTTGATGTAGTCGATGGCGATGATCTCATAGCAGAGGAAAAGGAAATTGCTCCGAAGACTCCAGACAGATGTAATATTCTTCACTTGTTCCTTTCCAGCCTGACAGACAAGAAAAAGAGACCTGATCATTATTTTGTGTAAAAAGCGCCTCATTAATGCCAACTTGGAGTCCTCAGCCATCAGTGCTTCTCAACGTTAATCGCAACAAAAACAAGGACTCCCAGTGAATCTACCGTGGCTTTTCAAACATGAATGACGTTGGACATCTGTTGAATTTCTGCTTTTCCTCGCTCACATACTGAAAGTGGTTTCCTGGTGATGAGTTTCGGAGTGTTAATTTCTTGATCTTTCTCCATTTCTCTCAGAGCTCCATCATCTCCTCTTGACATTTGCTCAATGGTCTGAGACTCAAGGGGAATTTTTCAGTCCCTTCCCTGACATGACAGTGATGGTGAAAGAGATAGAGGGAGAGATGAAAAAATATGTGTAGTTGAATAGCCTGTACTTCCAAGTCCATATTTCTCTACATATCTCCGGCTGACACCCATAGGTTGTGAGAGAACAAGAGTGGGAGAGGCGGAGGGGGAGAGAAGTGTGTGTTGTGTTTGTGTGGGAGATGGCTGGGGGCTACAGGTTTACTGTAGCAGGACTGGCCAAGGGCAGAAAAGAGAGGCTTTTCAAACGCCTACCCACAGACTCCTGCTCCCCTATCGAACCTCCATTTTCTGCCACGGCCTCCCACAGACGTTTTCCATCTGCTAGAAGAGAAATTTAAGTCCTAATACCAGCCATGTTGACTTCACATAAGCAGAATGTTAAATATCAGAAATTTGTCTGACTTTTTTTCAAAGTGCTTTTAGTTTCAAAAAGTAAGAAAAAATTATAAAAGAAATTGCATTGACCTTAGGATTTATGAATAAACTGGAACGTAGCACATGCACATTTCATCAAAACAAAGAGGAGGTCAGCTGGTTCGGAGTTCTCCTTCCATTTGGTAAAAAGTGGATTGCAAACAAAATCTGAATGTCTTGCATAATATACTGGCAGAGAAGTCTTCATTCACATGCAGGATAACCGTGACTCGTTACTGGGAATGGCTTGGTTTCCATCTCTTCAGCTCCTGTGTAAACCCTCTAGGAGTTCCTGACAACCTGACCGCCGCAGTCACTCCATTTAGAAAACCCAGGAAAGTTCCAGTGGAGGCGCAAATCACAACTGTGTCGTAACCCTGGCTGGCATCATGGGCAATGTACCTACAAGAAGGCAGGCGGGCAGCAGTGGTGGAAACTTGAGTAAATATATTTATGTTCTTTTCTCTCCTCAAAGGCACTTGTGGTGAACAGTGTCCTTTTCCGATACCTCCATACAGTTTATTTTACCCCCTAGAATCAAGTTCCCATGGAACAACCATCGGCTAATCTGAAATACAGGAAACCCTGGGAAATCAATGGAGGAAAGGAAAATATTTGCTTGTTTTCTTTGTCACCATACCCCTACATGTTTTAGTCAGAGGAGTGTGCTTGAAGATTCCTGACACACATTTTCTAAGTGAGAGGAGTGTGTGGTGCAGCACCTACCTCAGCTGTTTACCCCTGTTTAAAGCTGCTTAGCAACAAGATTATGTCAGACAGAACGAAGAGTGTAATATATGACTGTGTACATTTTACAAAAATGCAGCAGTGCGCATAACACTACTTTCATACCTCTTCTCAAAGTAAACTTTGACAGTAAATGCATTATGTACTTAAAACAAGCTGGAGTTCCAGCTATAACTAGTGCCTCGACATCTCTACCAGCTTAAACAAATATCTTCACCTTCTCTGCCTTATATGGCACTTAACGGCAATTCTGAAGTACGATAAAATGGGAGTGCAACAGTACAACAGAGACAAATTTAACTGTTAACTGCCTTTTCTCCATCATCATAAACCTAATATAAATATAATGTCTACTATAATGTAGACAATTTAACGACCAAAAAGAGGAAGTCTTGAAATCTAATTTTCATCAATTGTCCATGGCCTGTTGTCAAAAAGGCACCCTAAAAAAAAGAATAAAACACTGAACATAAAAAAAATAGTCAGTGTTGTTGCAATGTTATTACAATGGGAAAACCAACACGGACCCACCAGCAGCTGCTGACAGTCAGCAATAATATCAAATCTCTTATTCAAACAGCAGATGGCTCATTTTAAGTCATATCCGTCTCCACACTGTCATCACAGGTGTCGTTAAGACCTCAACCCCTTATGAACTTCAGCGTCACAGAGATGAGCCAAACGGAGCACAGAGCGTTGTCATGGTGACACCGTTGGTGTTGACAGTGACGGTGATGGTAGTGGTGGTAGGTAGGGGTAGAACAGAGTCATTTTGGTGCTTGGTACCTGTGTGGGCTTGCCTGCGTCTAGCTGTGTGCGCACGCATGTGTGATTGAGGACACCGGCTGTAACAAGCCCGAATTCCAAGGAAGTGCTACCTTCCACATAAACACGCACACACAGACACATGAGATGTATTTCACATGTTCCCACGCAAGTGATGTAAACTAGTCTCTCTTTAAAAGGAAGGGGAAACAATTTAGTAAAATTGAGGGGGGCTGGTCTGAGAATATCTCACTGATAGTTACTTTGGATGATTTCATTTTCATTTTTGAAACCATGTGCTCAATTCGAAAAGCGACGGCTTCACAATAACCAACGCATGTATCTCTCCTTCACTCTCAGTGCTGTGATTATGAATGAACGCTGTGATCGTACTCTCTCTCTCTCTCTCTCTC